TGTAAAGCGGACAGATAAAGAAATTCCTCAGTGAGTACAGCATATTTTGTGACCAGAATATATTAAGCTCTGTATATCTACTATCGTTAAATGTTATCAGGGTTTCCTCTCAGAGTAGATCAGTGCTGAATTTGTCTTTAATGTCAGCCACTGGAATTCAAGCTCTGGTTAACAGGAGCTTTAATCACCACCTCCTCTTGAAAGGATAAAACATAAACAAAGTAATTTCTAAAGAATTAATGAATTTATTTTAATCTGACATTACTTGGAAACAAAATTGAAGAGATATGAGCTTTTAAAAAACAATCTGAATGATGAAGTGTCAGGTATGTGCCATGCATGATACATGCTTAGGCGATCATGTATCTTTTGATACATGACTGACAAGGCAGATTTTTTCTACGTAGTGGATTCATCTGGAATTTGAACTCAGCTCTCCAATTCCTCAATCCGAGCTGCTGTACTCTCTTTAAAAAGAGGAAAATAGAGTTTTGCTGAACTATGATACTCTCTCTAGCCTGGTAGTAAAGTACACTGGATCAAACAGCAGTTACTCCTAAAGGGAAAGGGCAACACAGATTTGATCCCTGCCAAAGAGCATCTATGACCAATACACTGTTTAAAACACTAATATAAATGTGGCATCTATTTCAAATAGGAGTATCCACTATAACACTTAAAGCAAGAAGAACAAATTTTATACAATGAAAATTTCAAATCAAAATTTAGCTAATAACTATATCAGGCTGCAGACTTACTGATCCATCCTCATACATGAGTTCATTGTCACACATAAATTCTATATGCTCCAACTATACTTAATTTTGTCTGACACAAGGCCACAGTAATATAAATGCACACCCTCACATTCCACACCTATCTGTCATAGTTATGTAGGTAGTAATTTATCTCATAGCTTATTCAATCTATGTTCAGTATGAATTAAATATGAATTATGAATTTAAAAAAAAAAAAAAAAATTGTCCCATCTAAAGAGTCAGATTTAATTCGACACCTTTCAAGGTGACCACTGCATCCAAAAATCCTCAGCACACCTTTCAAAGTGATCAATGCATCCAGAGATCCTCCTCAACACACCTTTTCCAGGTGACCAATGAATTCAGAGATCCTCATCGACTCACCTCTCAAAGCAATCAATGCATCCAGAGAACCTTCTCTATGCACCTCTCAAGGCAATCAATGCATCCAGAGATCCTCGTCGCCACGCCTTTTTGAGGCAACCAATGCATCCAGAGAACCTCCTCAATGCACCTCTCAAGGCAACCAATGCATTCAGAGATCCTCCTCGCTACGCCTTTTTGAGGCAACCAATGCATCCAGAGAACCTCCTTGATGTAGCTTTTCCAGGCAACTAATGCATCCAGAGAACTTCCTCAACACATCTCTCGAGATGACCAATGCATCCAAAATTTCTTGATATACTTTTCAAGTCATGCAATATATTTAGAATGATATTCTTGAATAATGAAAAGAGTATATGAAGCAAAAAAAAAAAAAAATAAATTAATGATTAAGAATACCTACTATAGATATTCCTAAAATAAAGATGGATGATTTGATATTGATAAATAATAATGTTGTATTGCTTTGTTTTAGTCACTAAGCTTCTTCTCTTGCAAACCATCTCTAGAGACATCCTCACTGTGATAGTGTGATGTTTTGTCTAAAGCAAGATTAATAAATTTCAATACTAAAAGGTTTTTATAGTGAATTCTCTTTTCTCCAAGAGCATCTAAATGTAACCTTTTGTCAGACTTAGCTGAGCTTAACATATCATATATCATAATTAAAATAAATCTACCTACCTATCTCTATTTGGGCTTTCTGTTTACTTTCGTATCACGGCCTTGACGTTTCTAATCTTTACAATTTAGTTTCAGAACACAGACGATCATGTTGGGATAGAGAGAAAAATAAACTGATCTATGATGCCACAGCCACACTGTTTCGTTTTCCATGATTATTCATTTTCTTTTATCTATCTATGCGAAATCGAGATGAACTAAAAGATTTGTCCACACCACACGCTAATCTCCTGCCCCGTTCTTTTAAGAAAAAACCACTTCCTCCCCATAGCAGTTGTAAGTTGAATGGCTCAGAGTACCATTTAAGAACATCATCTCTAACAATACCGTCAAAACAGATCGTTAACGAACCTTATGTATGACAGGAAGAAAAAAAAATGTTCCTCGTCAATCTATGTCATAAAAAAAAAAAATAACTATTTTTACAACATAAAAATTGACGTTGTAATTAGGATTTTTTTTTCTTTTATGCATTTATTTATTTAAAGAAAAAAAAAAAAGAAACGAAAGAGAAAGGCCATCGCTAATGTGTAGTAAAACCAACAATTTCTATACTGTCATCATCCGAGAAAGAGAGCTATATAGACCATTTTACAATTATTTCCTCATCATAGCAGTAGTAAGTACAAGCGAATGGCTAATAATGCTAGTCAATGCTATAGACACGAGGTTCCAGGTATTTCGGCTGGAACAAGTAAAAATAAAACCCAAAACAAAACAATGAATGTTGTTGATCAAAAAAATATTAATCTAAAATTAAATATCAGTATCATCATGGAACAAAAAAAGCGGGAATATTGTGTCACAATGTGTATGGTCGTGGTGGTGTGTGTTTGGACGGGGGTAGAAGCGGGAAAACAAAAAGAGCACAGATTCGTCGATGATAAATAATAAAATACTTTCTTCATTATTAGACTTATTTGTAGAGGAGTCAGGTTTAAATAGTTATTTCGTAAAAATGATCCCAATTTTGAATCGTGTTTCAGGATCTAACTAACAAGTAATAATCTTGTGTGTACAGCGAATGGAAGAGAAAGGAAAAAAATCCATTACTATTTCCAAAAAAATAATTTTTTGGACATGATAAAACATGTCTATTTAAAAAAAAACAACAAAAAAAAACAGCCATCTCTGTTTTTTAAGATGAAAATAACGAGTTTCAAATATTTTATTTTTAAATATTAAGAAAAAATTTTATTCTTTTTCACGCTTTAAATTTAAAAAATGTCAACTACTCAAATCTATTTTTAAAAATTAATTTGAAAAAGGCCGCCTTTTATAAACTGGTAAAAAATACTTATAATTAGAATAAACAATTTTACCTTAAGAAAAAGTAGACTTATGTTTTGTTTTCTATGCTATAGAAAAAAAAAAGAGAAATACTAAGAAATATAAACAATTTTTAAATTATTTGTTGATCTCAATTTTTTCTCTAGAATTAGTAGTAGCATAAAAACACGTGTAAAAGAAGGAAAAGGGTAAAAATTGACACTTCATTTAAGAACCCCAAATTAAATAACCTTTCCTTTACATTTTTAGCGTTTAATTACAAATTGAAGTGAAATTCTATGGTAATAATTGTGTTCGTCTCCCAAATAATTCTGAGGGTAGCAGAATTTCTGCAGTCTGCTACTAAAAGTCTTGGAGTTGGTAAGAAAAAAATCTTATATTTCTCAGAGACAAAAGTAAAACTCTGTTAAAAAAAAAAAAAAAAAAACTAGCAGAATAAATAATTATTTAAAAATGTATTTCAACGGATAATAGTGTGATCTTTCTTTCTGGTATGTGAAAAAGATTTTTTTTTAAATATTTAAATAAAAATGAATAAGATCAAAAACAGAAAAGGCGGACATCTTTTTAGAGAATCTTATTCTTTTCTTTCTGTTTTCCTAGCTAAGTATTTCGACTATTAAAAAAAGAAGAAGAAAATCTGTATTCTTTTTTTAATTAAAAAACACTTTGGCATGCGGATTTAAAGAAGAAATGATAAAGTTTGGGATGAGTACAATTCAATATTTTTAGCAAACTCTCTAGTGTAAAGCAGAGGTTAGCTTAATTGGGGCAGTGACCAAGGAAACGGGGATTAGCTGTCTCTATTACGCTGCAAAGGCATTTCATTCGTAATATACAATTGTTTCCTAGACTAACAGGAAAAAAAACGGGTAGAAATATAGGTAATTATTTTATAATCTTCCTTTGTTGATAAACGTTTAAAACAACTAGCAAAGAATAAATAAATCAGTCGAAGAGTCTGGTTTTAGCACCAAAAATGATGTACAATAAAAAAAACAAAAAAAACGCATGAATTGGATGTTGTACAAGAAGCAACAAAAATGCGCGCATATCAACAAGTTCAATTTTCCTTATCATCAAATAATTATTGCCAGTTTGGTTAAATTTAATTAAAATGGAAAGGTAAAAAAAAGAATACGAAAAAAAAGATATAAAGATATGTGTTATTTATTTATTAATTTTTTTTAAGAAAAAAAAAAAAAAGAAGAGTAAAAAATGCAAGAAACAAAAAAATAAAAACATAGAAGCCATTCATTTTTTATTTTTTTTTTTTATAATTGTTTCTCAAATAAAATTATTACAATAATCATTGATAACATTTATTTTTACTGAAATTGAATTAAAATATAAAATAAAAATTTCGCCGACTTAGTCGTAAATTTTATGCCTAGTATACAACAGAAACGGTCTGTTAAAGTCACTTTAGTTTAATAAAGTGTTAATATTGTTAACTATTCGGTTCCGTTAAACAACACTGGAGATTGGCTTGGAGAATATTTTTTAGCAGTTATTTTTTTTTTGTATTTTATCTTTAAAATTTTTTTTTTTAAATCAACGAAAAAGCTTCTTTTTTTTTTCTTGATAAATCTACCCCTTCATTTATTTATTTTTATTGCGCAGTCGAAATTTTTTGCATTTAAATAAATAAAGGGAGAATTTTTCATGACACGAGAAATAACTGTTTTTCTTGAACAGATCGACATTTGGTAACATGGTCACGTGACTCAACTCATCACAAATGATAATTGCAAAATTGCTAAGTTGGGAGATTTTATTTAAAAAAAAAAAAAAAAAAAAGATTTAAAAGAAAAATTGATTGAGGTTTTCATTTTTCCCTCCTACCCCTTTCACATCTCTGCTTAATCTCTTTAAGAAATAAAGTTAGAATGACAAAAGAAACACAGAAAAGGAAGGATGAGAGAGAGAGAGAGAGAGAGAGACAGAAAAGGAAGGATGAGAGAGAGAGAGAGAGACAGAAAAGGAAGGATATGAGAGAGAGAGAGAGAGAGACAGAAAAGGAAGGATATGAGAGAGAGAGAGACAGAAAAGGAAGGATATGAGAGAGAGAGAGACAGAAAAGGAAGGATATGAGAGAGAGAGAGACAGAAAAGGAAGGATATGAGAGAGAGAGAGAGAGAGAGACAGAAAAGGAAGGATGAGAGAGAGGGAGAAACACGGAAAAGGAAGGATGAGAGAGAGGGAGAAACACGGAAAAGGAAGGATGAGAGAGAGGGAGAGACACGGAAAAGGAAGGATGAGAAAGAGGGAGAAACACGGAAAAGGAAGGATGAGAGAGAGGGAGAAACACGGAAAAGGAAGGATGAGGGGGGGGAGACACTTATACAACCCTGGTAACACACTAAGAAATCGAATTTGAAAAACTCCAAAATAATTGTGGTATTTCAATGGGTCTTCATGTTGCCTGTTTTACCCCTACATATTCTCGGATAACTCCAATTGAATAAATTGAAACTACTTCTGTTATATCAGTAACTTCATTAATTCAAAATGTATTTTAATGAAAGTACTTGAAGAAGACAGACTGTTACATCTAAATATGATGCTGTTTTTGCTCCATTCTAATTGAACGCTTTTTCTAATCAACCCACTGGGTATAGCTGCTGGTTTAGAAATAAATAGATATGCAAAATTTCATTTGAAAATGTTGAATTCATTTAGTGTGAAAGTTTTCCAACTCAGCTGAAATGAGTTGTAACTACCCCAGCTCCAAACAGGCAAGCAAAATTTCCCAATACAAAATAATAGCACGTCTATTGTTACAAATAGATTTAATAAAAATCTGACAGATTTTGCTTGGTCCAAAGGAAAACAGTCAGAAACCTCTTGAGAATTCAGTTCTGGATAGTAAATATCTTTAGTATATTTTTGCTTAAGATTGTTATTCATTTATATAGTGATTTTCCAAGCGGAGCTTAGATGTGGCACAAGGCTGAAAGCATGGGGCACCCAGCGAGGATCAAACTCAATTGTTCTAGTGAGACAAGCTTGGTAACCATTACACTGCCTCAGGGTACCCTTGAAATGGATTAGGCTGGTCAGTTTTGCTATATGCTAACCGTTGTTGGCTTATTTAATGTCATAATCAGTTCTTTGTTATTGTCATCATGATCAATATAGAGAGAGCAGAATGCCATGAATGAAACGCTGTACAAATATACAAAGATCAATATGTCCATCATGATACCTAGTCAGATAAGGGTATACTAGTCACATGCCTCACAGCCAAATGTGTATAATATGGTGATGGACTTTGATAAAAGCAGTGCGTAACTTTGAAAGTAGGGACCATTAGAAATACCTTTAGATCAGTTAATCCAGTTTGCTTAGATGTTATCGATTGAGTGCATTCCCAAGTATTTAGATGTGACTCCCCAATTGGCTGAGACTTATTCTTCAAACTTAAAAAAAAAAAAAAAAAAAAAAAAACTCTTTACACTTGCCAGTGATGCACTCACCTCTACTCCTGTTAGTGTCCAGTAAGTCAACCCCACCCAGGGAATACCTAACTGGTTCAAGTCAGAAAAATGACAAGGAAAGCTGTGATACTGAACTGGATATTTACTGCAGCCCATTTTAATTCAGCAAGACAAAGCATGTAACATCTCCAATAAATTAAAACCAGAAGCCCAAAGATCTATGTCTACTTTAGCATCAGGGCATTTTATTTATATATATATATATATAATATATATATATATAATATAAATATATAATATATATATATAAAATATAATATATATATATATATATATATATATATATATATATAGCATTTATGCTGTATAATTCATGTGTATGTGTATCATAATTCTAGTTTGTCTATATGGAATTCAGATGATTATATATATATATATATATATATATATATATATATATTTATATATATTTTCATGTGTGTGAATTCAAATGCTATAATTTTGAACTTAATCTTTTAAACACATCTCCTCAAAAAGCAGTAATAGTTTGGAAAAAAAAATATTTTGTGTTATTTATCATGTCAAACCCCAACTTTCAAATTGAATGCAATACCACCATTCCAAATTTTTCAACCTTCCCTACTGCCATAATCATAGCCTATTAAAATTTACTTGATCACGTGATAGGTAAATATATTGGTTGCTGAAAGTTGAGTCTGTAGAAATTTACATGATAGGTGTTACCCTCTTTTTACCACTCTGAAAGGGATACTATTGGTATATTCTAAGGAGAGGTTTCCCCTAAATTCAGAGAATTTAACAGCATGTGCCAATGAAATGTAATATGGACTTTTGGCTAAAAAATATTAAATGGATTATATAAACTACTTTGATGTAGATGATGCTATAGGGAGGGCTGGGGAAATTCAGCCTCCTCACCTTTTTGCAGGAACGGAAAACTAAACAGAAGACAAACTTTTATTTTCTTATCATCAAGTTCAGCTGTATCATTTGTCGGATATCATTACTGCCTTAATTTTCAAAATGAATAGTAAAACTTCATTATCTTACTCCACCCTCACCAAAACATTAACTTCTACAACTTCAGAGAAACGTAGAAAAATATAATTCCAGAAAATTGAAAATAAATGCAAAAAAATCTTTATTTAAAAACAGAGGTTCCCAACCATTTGCATCAACGCCCAGTTTCACATGGAAAATTTTTCCACCTCTCACCTATATAGTAAATATTCAAAAGCGTACCAAAATTGTTTGGTAACATTTTGTTACTGGTTCATAAACTGACTTTATGATGTAGTAAACAAAAAAAAAAAAAAAAAACAACAATTAACACCGATTTATGCACTAACTGCTGTTGCTACAACTACCATATTAAAGAACAAGCAAAAACAAATTTGAGGATTGAAAAGTGTATATATATTATTAATAATAATAGAAATCTTATAAGTATAAGAAACCCTCCCCGTTGTTTGTTTTTTCTTGTTTTTTTTATGGTTATGGTTTTTTGTTTATTGACTATAAATTTTCCATTCTTTCTTTACCTTTTTAGACAGCAATCCCTGACGATCGGCTTAGGTGAAACCTTGGTAGATTTGTCTGGCTATCTAGATATATATATATATATATATCTATATGACCTAGCCACACCCTTCTCATTTTACCCCCATACATCATTTTCAACATTTGATTTGGCTTCCTGCCTTTTTATTTTGTGCGGGTGTGACTGCAATAGAAACAAGGTGTTAGGGTAATTTCAGAAATGTTTTTCATAATCGAATTTCCACAGATATTTTGGATAGCATCACAGGTACACACATCTGCCATAGAGCTATATTCCTACCCTTCACATGCATGTAAGTTGCAATGTTTAGTCCTGTAGACAATGGTACATTTTCAATGAGGAAATCTATGGAAGTGTATGTACTAAAAGAGAGCCTTCCTGAAGTTCAGTTTTCAGCCTACCACACAGACACTAACTGATCCTTGAAAATGACCAAGACAGTTGGAGGAACTTGAATAAAACAACAACACAACTTTGGTCAATTTATCCATAACAATGCTTCATTCAAAAATTGGGAAAATACAATTAAAAAAAAAAAATTAGATATAGTTAGTTCTTTTTAATAAAACTTGCTCTTATATATATATATATATATATATATATATATATATATATATATATATATATATAACGCACTGCTCTTCATTAATGAATTGAGCCCTCTGGCTGCCGGTGTTTGTATACATCCGTATATAATACATTAAAATTTCCCTTTCTCTGACGTGTGCTGATAGCTTAGAGGTAGGATCTCCAACTGATGTGAAATCAGTCAGGTTTTGATCCCGGTTTGAAGCAATCGGATGTCTAGCCACACTGATGAGCTAGCTGTGATAAAGTGAAACAGGCTTGTATGTAGATGACACACACATACATATATATGTGCAAGTTTCATTAAATATGACAATGTGCTTTGATTAAGGTTTTATATAATTTCTCATGTGATCTTATAATTTTTTTCTTTTCAGTAGATAAATTATATAAAAACTGTCCAAATGTTTTTTTCTGGGTGCTTTCAGCTACACATTTACCCATTGTCAAGGTTGAAATATATTAACAATCAACTAGAAATAGATTGTTTTATGTATGCATGTATTTATATAATGTTTTATTTTCAAAACAATGCCAAGACATTGTGTCCATGTTGATAGTTGATATTATTGTAGTTGTTTTTTTTGGTTTTTATTAATAAGGCTTCAATTATTTTTAGCCTTTTATTCTTTTTTTTTTTACATGTAGACAATGCTAAATGAAAATGTCTAAATGTATAGCTGAAAGTGCTCAGAAAAAAAACAACATGGACAGTTTTTATATAATTTATCTACTGAAAAGAAAAAAATTATAAGATCACATGAGAAATTATATAAAACAAACTTAAAGCACCTTGTCTGTCATATTTAATGAAACTTGCATGAAAGAAGGATTGCTGCCTAAACACACAATTTATTTATATATATATATATATATATATATATATATATATATATATATATATATATATATATATATATATATAATAGTAGGCCAATGAAATAAATTCAACAAATAAGAAATAATATTAATAATATTGATAAGACCTTTTTTTACAATTTTTTTTTTTTAAGCCACTTCAGTTTTTTTTTTATTTCATATTGAGAAATGACACAAACGTATATGAAAATTCCGATTCATGCTTCCATTTAGTTAAAAGGCCTAATAATATACATATTGTGGGGACCTACCTACAAATGGACTCTTCCACACCTATATAATATGGCTACCAACTCTGAATAAAGGGAGTCACCAAGTGAGGGTCACCGAGTAGTAGCCATAGAGTGAGTGAATGAGTGAGTGAATGAGTGAGTCAGGACACCTGTGAGAGAAAGTACTCTCCAGTCCACATTTACCTTTGTACTATGTTTCCGAGAATATACTATTTAACCTTATATCCAAGTCCGTGTTATCTTTCTATGGTTCCACACCGTAACAATACAATAAATAATTTAATAATATACAATAAATAATAATAGTTTTATTATCACTATTATTATTTTTGTTGTTTATTTTATCTCTCAGATTTCTTTCATGAGTCTACTATATCTACATAAGAATTGTGTATTTGGGCAGCAATCCCACTTTCATAAAAGTTTCATTAAAAATGACTGAAAAGGTACTGTAACACTGTATCCTCACCCCACTGGACTGACACAATCCACAAGACCATCTGTTGGTCCAGTATTACAGATTAGACACAGGTCTCTAGTTCCCAATGTCAATTCGAAGCCACCCTCCAGCCACATTGTGATTGTTTTGATCCTGGAGAATGGTCATCAAAATATTTTACTTATTGGAA